AGATTTTTGAGTTTTTCAATATATAATTTAGAAATTAAATCTTGATTAGCAGATTTTTTATTTTGTATTGATCCTTTAAAAAAAAATTTATCAAATTTAATTTTTGGAGAATTAAGGGGAGTATCTGGAACTAAAGCTATATTACAAAAAATTGGTTTAAATTTATTATATATTTTAAAATAACTAGTTTTTTTATTAAGTTCATTTGTAAGAATTGTGTCTTCTATTGGTAAATTATATGCAATGCATTTAATTATTTCTTTAGCTGTTGTCAATTCAAAACGAAATTTGGATGGTAATTCTGATGCCATATGATAAATAATATGAGTTGGAGTAGATCTAATAAGACCTAGACAACGTCTGATATTTGCATTGCAGCAAGTATTAAGCTTTTGTAAAGTAGACTGAGATATATTGGCAAAAGTTGAACAAGCATAATCCATTTTGGAACTAGCAAAAGCTTTATAAAGTTGAAGTGCTTAAGGAAAAGACACGTTTTATTTGTTTTCTCAATGATTTGATTAACATGATCATTGCATGCATTATTTATGTTAATAATAATAATAATAATAATTCTACCAAGATATTTAATTTTACGTACTTGTTCAATATTAATTTGAATGTTAATTTGAGAGTTTCTTTGGTTAAAATATATTTCTTTAGTTTTGAGAAAATTTATGTTTAAGTTAATTTTATTACATACAATATTAAATTGGTTAATTTTGTCTTTTAATAATTGCTTGGTTTGATTTTGTTTGGGATGTGAACAAACTATAAAAAAATCATCAGCAAGTTGAAAAATTTTACAATTTTGATTTGTTATGAAGTGTAGATGTGTTGTATATAGATTAGAAAGAATAGGACTAAGGCCACTACCTTGAGCCAAACCGTTTTGTGTTATAATTTTTTCATTTTCAAAAGTAAATAACGTTTTTTGAGAAAAGAATAAATCCAATTAATTACTTTTCTATTGAAATTAAAGTTAAGAAGTATATTTTGTAATATATCAATATCAACTGAATCATATGCCTTTTCAACATCAATGCAGGCAGCCATTACTTGAAAATTTTTTTCTTTAAGTGTAAATATTGTATTAATTAAACCGTTAATGCATTGAGTTGTTGATCGATGTTTTCGAAAACCGTATGACCTGTCTGGTAAAATAATATGAAGAGAAATATGATTTTCAATATAAAATTTTAAAATACCTTCAATAGTTTTTGCTAGAACAGACATTAGACAAATTGGTCTATAATTTAAAATATTCGAAATATCAATATTTGCTTTTGGTATAGGAACTATTTTCATTTCTCTCCAAGTTTCTGGAAAAATACCATTACTCCAAGTATTAATTAAAATTTTGAAGAGTTTATTTTTTTCTTCTTCACTTAATTGAAATAACATTTTATACGA